GTAAAGAGAAACTGTCGTTTCATAGTTTCCCGAGGAGACAACAGCGGAAGAGCGCCAGCACGTCGATTGTGATGTTCTCCGCACCGGAGGAGGAGGGCGTCATGCTTCTGAACGAAGGGGCGCCGGAGGCCCCACCACCGCATCCATCCGACACCGTCCCACGCGGGAAGGAGTCTGCGCGTGAAGCCTATCCTTTGGTCTCCCCGGTGCGTGACCAGGAGAAAAGTCGAGAGCCAAATTTTCCACATCTGGCTATGGAAAGCAAGCCTTCACCCGGGTGTACCCTCAGAGCCCGAATTAGCATGACAGATGTACGCTTGCATAGCTTGAGTGTGTCCGATGTGTCAATTCCAACACCCCCCCTGAGGCTACCAAAGATTTACCACGTGCCCTCAGGAACAAGCGTGGCAGAGGAAAGTGTGGCGAAGGGGGCATCAACTTCTCATTTGGCGAAAAGACCGAGTGAAAGGAAACGACGCCTGAGGAAGAAACAAAACAACAACAAAAGTTCTTTGGTTTTTTTGCACTTGGAAGAGGATACATATGGCGAAATACGGGATACGATGAAGGACGAATTCCCGTCGGCCGGACGCGGGTTTTTGGACTCGAATTTTCGGCCACCCTTCCAAGGGGCTGAGAGGTCAGCGCGAAGACTTCGCACAATCTCACAACACCGTCGCAGTTCCATGGAGCAGTTGGAGCAGGGTGACCTCCTCTCCGTTCAAGACGACGTGACTGCGAGCCCAACGAAAACTAGAAGACGTCGTCTTTGCTCCTTTGACTTCTCTAAGGCCTTCCCCAGCGACCGGCGAGAGGCACGGGAGCTTGAACGGGAGAGACGCTTAATTTCCGAAGTTTTGTTGAATGCACAGCAGCATTTATCACGCAGTGTCACGGCTGAGGAAATTGAATGTGATTCCGCGGCGATGGCGTTGGTGTTCAAGTATGATGAAATCTCTCAGGCTTTTGCGATGCGGCGGGCTGCCATTGCCGATGCATTTTTGAAGGAAATATTTTCGTCAGCGGTGCAACGTGTTATTGACATGTCGAAGGAGCCAACTTTGCCGGGATTGGTCCATCTTCCACCTTCGACGCGTCAGCAGCGACGTCAGAAGATTGTGAGGGGCGCAGAGACATTAGGGGGCGTCAGCAAGGAAGAAATGGATTCCGCTGCCTTTCCCGTAACGAACCCACGCTGTGTACCACAACCGTGGGCGCACATTTCTAATGAGGAACTGGCACAGGATAGGCGTCTGTACGAAATGCTAAATGCCCGCCCTAAAGAAAGCGGAGAGAATATTGTGCAATACCTCCGTGAGTGGTCGGAGCGGAAGGAGGCAGAGAATGAAGAAATATTTGGGAAATACCCGTTCCTTTCACCCCTGCCGCATGGTGTTCCCCTTTCCGAGCTGCGGCTTTATGAGGATGCCGAGTTCCAGAGAGAAGCAGCGGAGTATGACATGCGACGCGAGGATGTAAAGCTGGAGACGGTGTTACGCGGTATTGTGGACCGCCTTGCCAAGCAGCAGGCGGTCTTGCGAGGTCGAGAAAATCCACAGCATTTGTCTTTTCTCGAACGTCTGCGGGAGGCATGTGGCGACGCCTCCCCGAGTGCGGCAATTCTGACAAACGTGAGGGGCGAGTTAGATGTGGTAGCGCCGTATAAGCGGTCGACCTTTCGTGAAGAACGCCTTCGTCTTCAATTTATCGCGCAGTGCAAACGGGACTCCGTCTGCCTTCTTAGGCGATTGATGGTGCGGATGAAGAATGAGCGCACGGCTGATATCCCGCTCAGCATCGAGGACATTGAGACCTTCCGTTTCTTTTTTGACGGCGTGGATTGCGGCAATTTTGGAGTTTTGGATCGCGGCGACTTTGTGGACTTTGTGATGCTGACCATCTGCGATGAACTCTCCATGTCCCGACGCGAGGTGGAAAAACTCGCGTTCCCGACTGCCCAAAAAGAACCGCTGCCGTATGTTGTCGACTTTAGTGACTTTTCCATGTTTTACAAGTCTCTGGCACTGCGGGAGGTGAAGAGGCAGGACAGCCGCTTCTGTGAGGAAACGGGGCCGTCCCCTGCGCGGGGCCGATATTTACCTCCAGCCAATGAGCCACAAAAAACCCTCGGCGCCGTATCTAAGATCAGCCGCGGCGTCACGATGTCAGTGAACACGACGGCTTCGCCCGTCATACTGCCTTCTCTGTGCAGCCAAAGCACCTGCGTGGATACAGCGGGCGGTATGCCCCTGCAGCGGCGACCACTCACGTCGGCGAGGCGCGAACTTGAGCCACAGAAGGAGATGTCGTTGCCTGTAATACTGCCGACTGTTCGAGGCAATATGACGCAGGGGATGCAGGCATGGGTGAAGAACAGCTGCTTTTCACTGACGGAGGGCATATCAGACACCCAAAAGAGTTGCCTGGCAGGCAGAGAATGGAAGAATGAAAAAGAAAAAACGAAGTAGAACCGTTTGTCTTTTGTTTTTAATCTATGTATTTATTTATGTATGCGTTTGGTTATGTGTTTTTGTTTTTTTGAGGCGGTAAAAGGAAAAAGTATGAAATTGGGGAAAGAGGAAGGAGAGGTGTTGTTTTTCACTATTATTTATGCGGAGAGGGAAATGAGAGAAGAAGGGAGAGAGAAAGGACTGTACGAATGCGAAGTGATGTGTAAAGGACATGTCACTCCATTTTTTACGGCTCCTTCTCTCTGACTGTTTGTTACTGTTTTAGAAACACGCACACACACACACACACACACGCTGTGGGCGGGCAAATAAAAATAAAAAAAAATAGAAGCCTTTTTAGTTTTCTTATGTGTGTCTCTGTCTGTGTGTTGCTGTTCTCCTCAACGTCAATTTATCCCGTTTCTTTCTATCCCGTTTCTGGTGTTTGCGCCCACAGTTTGAAAAGAGGCGATGAACCTTTCAAACTACATGTCAAGTATCGTGTCGGAGGTACAGCAGTTCGGTAAGGCGTACGTGGACTCATTTGTTTCACCCGGTGAAGGGAAGGACCACAATGAGTCCAGCAGTGAGGCGGCAATGAAAAGTCATGGGATGCCTGCTGGTACGACAACGGCGGCGGCGGCGGTTTCGTCGTTCTTCACAGCCACACATAAAACACGTGGCGACGCTCACACCAGCACCTTCACCGACAACAGGAAGAAAAACACCAACAACAGTAGCACTAGCAGTAGTTATTCGGCACCTCACCGTACTGTCATGGCAGTAGATGCCCAGGATAAAGGGACAGATGTTAAGGACCGCCCCGGTGCGCTCCCGGTGTTTCAGCATGCGTCTACCCGGGCGCCTCATGATGTTGCGTCCGTGGAAGATTTGCAGTTACCTGAGGGTTTCTCGGGACCCGTGGGGTCGGCGGTGGAGAGGCACTCCTCCTCCCTTTCTTCTAGTAGTCGTTTGGAAATAAAGACGGCGCCAGCGTTATTGGGGAAATCGCTTCGAAAAAACACGGGGAAGAAGGCAGGTAAGACGTCCCGTTCAAAGTTTGGTGCGGTAAAAATACAACCGGAGCATAGTGTGGCGACAAGCACACATCCAACCGTGAGCCCTGCCTCAAGCCCTGTGGACTCTCCACTCAGAGTGCCTCCGAGTGACAATAAAGACAGTTTATGTCAACCCGAAGAAAAGGACATGACGGTTGCTGCTCCTGGTGTTGATACCTTTTCTAGTGCGGCCCCGTTGGATTGGAGAAGGAGACAGAAACGGATCCTGCAGCTCCTTCACGTAAGTTTAGAGCGGCGGATGGAACCATTGGCCTCTGAATGGGTGCAGAACGCCCTTTCTCACTTTGCGATGAATGTGGCAGTTGAGGCTCTCGTCGGTGTCGCAAAGGATCCTTTTCTTTTGGCAACGTCGCCGCCATCATCTTCCGTGGATACACCCTCTGAAAGCGCCTGGCGCCACGCTGAGGCTGAACTTCGACGCTGCGTGAGACGTGTCATACCACGCGAGGTATTCGGGCCTTACGCCTTTGTCTACGACAAGGCCATTGCAAACGATAACGTTGTGCTTCCAGGAAATGTAATCTACCCGGCTGGTTGCAGCAGGGTAACGTCACATGAAGTCCTTCATGAAGCGCTGTTGCGAGCGCAGCGCTGGTGTGATGAACGTCGAACTCAGCCGTCGACGCTGTTGCCATCCGAGTCCGGTTCTGTTTGGGATTGCGGTATATCAGAGTTTTTGGCGCTGTGCTTTGGCCCGCCACTGTGCGCAGGAGTAAAAGAGGTTCAGGAGGTGACGCACCATTCACCACTGCAAGAGCAGGAGCTGCAGCTGGAGAGGACAGCGCTGGATATGTGGATAAAAGATGTGATGGAGCTCTTCTGTGGGATGATCTTTAGGTGGGATTTAGGGGTAGGGCAGCCGGTGCTTGGAACACCCGCCAATGAGTTTATTCTCGCCGTTGGCAATGAAAGTGACCCCACGTCCCTGGATGATTTGGAAAACACTTTGCATGACGGGACGGCAGCCCTTTGGGTACTGAGAGAAGCGATGGTTCTGGTGTTGCTGCTGCTTTGGGCCCTGCATTCCTGCTCTGCATGTGAGTGACCGAGGAGCACTTGACAGGGCTGGGCGGGTGGGAGGGAGGAAAAGTCGAGGAAAAAGGAATAGGACCCAGCAGGAGCTGAAAGGATATGATGGCCAGCACCGATGAACGTTTTACGACTCCTTGCTTCTTTGTGTGTGTGTGTGTGTGTTGGTGTCTTGCTGCTCTCTTCCACCTCATTTCCTGTACACGGGGGCGGATGCAGAATTGTGTGTTGCGTGTCCGCATTGATCTCTTGTTTTTCTTTTGTTGTTGTTTTCTTATTGGCTTCCGGAATGGTCTTGGTGGCACGTGTTTGCATTGGCCATTATTATTTCCGTTTAGCCGTATTTGTTTTTTTTTGTTTGTTTGTTGTTGTTTTTTGTGTTTGTTTTTCCCTCTCCTGCGGGGACTCACGTTCTTCCGCGGGAAAAAAAGTGGTGTTGGTGATGTTTGCCTGCCTGCGCAACATTTACGAGGAGCAGACCGCGCCGCCATCGAAACCCGGTTTACTACCTTCCCCATCTACAGAACGGCGGTTACGGCGTGCCGTGTTTGCCGCGGTGTCATCGAGCGAGCGCCGTCTTACTCAACTTCATGAGGAGCGAGAAAGGAAATCGGAAGGGGGTATTGTTGCTGCTGAGGACCGCAAGTCGATAGAGCGACGCCTGACGCAATTCATCGCCCACACTGTGCAGGATCACCTGCGAGCTGTCAAACTCGAGTCCACGCTCGTCTCTCATTCTTGCAAGCAACAGAGAAACAACGAGGACGGCAGAGACGAGTCCGCTGCAAGAGCTCAGGCAGCACTTCTGTGCAGTGCGGAGGAATTGGCGCAGCTGCTCTGGATGAACCGCACCATGGCGCTTGGCGCCACAATATCTGCACTAGAGGGGAAGTGCCCCGCCAACGAGGCCTTGCTTGAGGCCGTTCGGCAGCCAGCGGAGAGACGAGCACCGGATGTGAGGGAAACTATTCTTTGCGTGCGGAACTCATCCCCAGCGCTGCGGGCTGTCTTGTTGGATGGACCGATGATTGCCGCCGGGACCCATGTGGAAGGAGGGAAGGAAAAAGATGTCATACCAATGGAGGATGAGGATGGCGACGCAGAAACTGCGCCGGATCATCATCTTAATCCGAATCCTCAGAGCGAGGCGGGGGTTAAGAGGTTGCGGACAGGCACGGAGGAGGCCAGCGGTTTGAAAGGGCGGCGCTTGGGCAAGCGGCAGCCCTTTGCACTAAAAGTCGATGGAAGCCTTCTTCGCTCATTCCAGGACGATCCAGCATTGCCCACAGTCAGTCCGTCGTGGGGGAATCCGATCAACAACAACACCATTCAGCAGAAACAGCAGCCATTGGAGACTCAGCGGGAGCCTGAAGCCGTACTTCAAGGCGAAATTAATTTGCAGGCCACCTCCCAAGCCAAGTGCCAAATGAAACTAGGTTTGGACTGCGGCGGCAAACTCTCATTCGCACAAGCGCCGGCCATATCTTCATCACACACATCGGGTGTAGCACCCGGACCCTCACCATTTACAGTTGGCAGCGAGGCGCCGCGGCTGCAGCCCTCTTTTACTTCTCAATCAACCGCACCACCGCTCTTCGCCATCGAGCAGAGACCGCATCCATTACCTGAAGGATGGCTGACGGACGAGAGCGTTGAAAAGGCTCCCGCGGAAGGAGTGAAACGCGGCATAAATGCAAGAGAGCCCCGTGGTGGAATTCGTGCAGTGATCTCAAAGAGGCGACTGGATGAAACTGGGGAGGCTCATGCCAAAGTGGGAGGGCAAAACAACGGCGGATTCGTTACTGCGGGTGAGCAGCTGGTGGCGGATGTGAGGGCTGGAAGAACTGCGCCCTCGAGTCTCTCGTTGCAGCGCCGAACACCCGCGTTGGGTCTACGGCGTTCCAGCTTCACACCTCCGTTTCAACAACAGCGGCAGTCGACACCGCCCCCAAAAAGTGATGCTCCGAGCGCAACAACAGGCGTATCTTCGGCAACGTTCGTTGGTGAGGTGTTGAGTTCGATTCACAAGAATTCCACGAAGGGGTCCCACGACTCAACGACGCGAGGGGTGCGTGGCGGTCACGGCACTGCAGAAGACCGCGACGACAGCGACAGTGAGTGCAGTGAGTTTCCGGCGTCGTTGCTTCTTCCGGATGGATCTGTGCCGCCTATTTTAAAGCCTCTCGACCCAAAGCTTGTAACCCAAGTTGCGATGGAAATCCTGGAACACGGGGCCGGGGCTGCGAACGTGGGATGGGACGACATCCGCGGACTTGAGCATGCG